CATCTCCACAAAAAACTAGACATTCAACCAAAATTTTACAATAACTAATTTGTGTAAATATTTATTAGAGCAGAAGAATTACACCTTACCTCTTTTGATACCGTTATGTAGTTGTTCAAAAAAAATGGAGTTTTTCGAAAATGTTATCGATTTCATTATTATCGATTATCGTCAATGGCATATTCACAGATTTTAGATGTTTATGCGTATTGCCGAATACTTTCATCTTCATACTTTTATCGATAATGTTATCGAAAATGTTATCGATATCATTCTAGGTGTATTTACCGAAATTGATTTCTTTTTTTTAACGAATTCAAAAAAAACGAAGTAGGTTCTCTATTCGACACGTATACTTTTAAACTAATTTACGAATGAAAAACTAGAAATCAGTGAAAAAATAGTTCCAGTGGCATATTTGAAAACAGAAAAAAAAATAACAGACTCTACCCACATAATTGGTGCACCTGCTATGAACGTACATATGTACATATTGCAGACCGTCTTCAAAAGAGTCACAACTCAAAATTTGACATTTTTGGGATTATGCGGTAAAAATGTACATAGAGCTTTTATTTACCTTGCAGCAAAAGCTGTAGCAAATTTTTGTTATAATTTGTTAAAAAAAAACATAAGGTAAATTCTCCCTTGCACATGTGATTATCATTTGCTAAGAAATAGTTTTTCGCAATTTTTGACAAACGTATTATTTTGAGTTGTGACTCTTTTGAAGACGGTGTGCGACATGTACATATGTATGCAGGTATACATACATACATGCATATATCTAAGTACATATCACAGCATGGTTTTCTGTGCGTTGGTATAATGTACACACATACATACATATGTTGATTAAAACTTGTATGCTATATGTACATTTGCTATTTATTATAATTGCTCTCAGTCCCTCTAAACAAGCGCACTTGCGCAGCACTGCCATTTAGCTAAATGTGTAAAGTATAGGGGTGTACTTGAACTACTTCTGGTATATATATATGTATATATATGCATGTATGTAAGTAAGTGCATGCTTATACGCAAATGTATGTATATGAACATATCTCTATGCTCTATGCATTTTAAATGTCAATATGTAACAGTCAATACATATATATATATATCTTCAACTAGAAGTTTGTGTATTTGCATTCTTTTAGAGGCCACAAGCATTTATAAGCTTCCTCTAAGTGTTGACAATTATGTTTTCTTTAATTGAATGTTGTGAACGCCGCTTATTACAAAGGCAAATAAATCGTAAACGACAATAATTAGAAACTTTTTGTGGATTGTGCGTTGTGCCGTTGGCGAATGACAGGCAACAGGCAATTACGTCGGTCACCGAGGCGTATGAGCATTATTTTCTATTTATTGCATTGCCGGTGCCGGTATAAGTATACAAATGTATTTACATATATAAATATGTATGCAGAGGTAAGCACGCGATTTTCGATTCTATTAAATAGCACCGTTAATTATAACTTTTAACCTACCTGTTGTCGGACCAACAAATGCGCCCAAGTGCACACGCACACACATACTTAACCGCAATTACTGTCTTCAAGTTTGTTGTTTTTTTTTTTATCCACCGATATACTGCTTGTAAATTTTTAACATATGGCGGTAAATTTATGACGCTGGCAGAAATTCGCGCCATTTGCCACAATTAGACCTTGTTGCCGCATGATGACGCTTTTAGAAAATGCTGCACATTTGAAAAGACATCGCGCACACTATGTGTGTCATTGTTCTTGGCCAAAGTCATTAAAATTTTTTAACATACACGTAAAAATGTATTTCTTGATTTTTCAGTCATGCACGAATGCAAGTGTACGATTTCCTTTTTTTATATATATACATATTTTTTTTTTTAAATTTCAATTCACAGTTGGCGCACAACAACACGTAAATATACATACATATTTATGTACATATGGCATTTACATAGGCATAATGGTCTCGTGTTTGCTGTCTGTCGATTTTGTTATTATTACTATTGCTGAAATGACATACTATAAAATAACGAGTTTTGCTCTTTTAATTTTGTCATTGGCATACATGTTAACAAGTCTATTTGAAATCACATGGCAACCAAAATAAGTAATAAAAATAATCACAAAATATCAAATGGAAATATGAGTAAGTGAATATTACTCCACTGCAGTGACGTGATTTTATGGCAGCCAACAATTAAATGTTCATTGTCAAAGAATTCTTAAATTGTTGTTACGAAAACAAGTTGAGGAAACTACTGCATAGTGGTATTTTCGATTAGATTGGCGATAAATGCAAACATACACGCTATACACACAAACACGAACGAATGACTGAATTAATATGTCTATGTATGATATTCTCTTTAGATGTCGATAGGTTTACAACTTATTGATAGCAGGAAAAAATAAATATTTGTACATACATATATAGTAAGTATATATACTGTAAGTCATGCCTTGGAGGCATTTGCAATCCACGCCTGCATATAAGTAGAATATACACATATTTTATTGATTAATTCACTCCTTTTTTGTGTGATTTTTTCCTCCCACTGAGCAAATTGTGGAAGTCGTGCGAAAACACCCACAAAAATTACTGTATGCTAACATATAAACGCAATTGATTGTCAATAATATGTGCGGCTTTTTGAATTTAAAAAGCTAGCGAAAAATTAACGAAAAATGTTTTAAAGTTAAAAGTTTTTGTTTGACAAAAAAAAAAATGTATACAATGCAGAAAAAGTTAAGATAAAAATTATGTGAAGATGAAATTTTTAATATGGGTTATTAACATTTACATATTTACATTTACATATGACTGTGGAGTGATGAGTCGCCCTAAATGGCTTTCTCTCCAGTCCACCTTAATTGTGATCTGTATATAGAAAGAGTGCTTCTTAAACGAAAAGCAGCGAGAACTTCCTCTTAATGACTAATTAAAACCAGTGGCAGAATGTTGATTGCATTTCGATGGTCCTCTGTCATAACGAAACAATTAAAAATTCAAAAAATAAAATTATTTTCTACAGCTAAGTGGAGATGCTGTTTTTAAATCGATTAAAACGTATATCGATTGATTGAGCTCTTCCGATTCGATTTTTTGCAGGTTATTTTGTCCCGATTCCATCCGTGAATCGAGATAAAAAATTCGAGAATCGACATTCCATTTTTACTCATTTCATGCGTATTGAACTACGGTTTATAAAAATTTAAAGAAATTCGAATTTGGGGCTGGTACAAAAAAAAAAAATAACATGATAGAGCATAGACCAAAGAATTCGATGACCTCCGCCTATAGGGCTCCAACAAAACTCCAACAAAAACTCCAAAAATTGTAATTCCCAACTTTATGCAAATTTTTATAAAAAACTTTCATCCCTTAATTACTCTTTTTATATTTTTTTAATAACGGCAATTAAGAAATGAAATATGTAAACTAAAAAACGTCCGCATTGCACAAAAATACTTGTACGTTAGTTCCATTAGACTTCTTAAAATAGTGGTTAATTTTGAAGCAAAACGTAAAATTTTTTCTCACTGTTAAAAAAAAAAATAAATCGAAAAATTTTTACAGTTAAGTTTTCACTAGGTATTAAATGAAAAAATTTTAACCACTATGTTGGGCATTAAACACTACCCGTGTCATTGTGTTTCACATGGAATTTTAAAATTGGCAAACATTTTTTGTCATTTCGTTGCCTGGCGGAAATTTGGTTTAAGAATTTATGGAGTTTCTGTTGAATGGTCATATTATTGTCTTAGTATAGGAAAACCTTATCTCATACTTTTCTCTCTACCTCTTTAACTCTAGATATTGAAACCGTTATTATGAGCAATGCATGTGTGCATGTTTTTATTTCGATTCGAATCGATTCAAAATTCGACTTTTTTTATTTCGATCTGCCATCTCTACTGCTGAGTTGATCATGTCTCTAATTCTCGGTAATCCATGTCTAATGCTTAGCAAAGTAATTAGTAAAGATTACTACAGTAATTAGTAAGGATTAGACATGGATAAGACAAGGATTAGTCTAAAGTATTTTTGCAAGATAATTTCGAAAATTTTGAAAATTAAATACGGCAATTCAAAATTTATTTAAATAGCTCTACTCTAATAATCAAAGATTCTTCTTAGCAAAAGTTTAATGATATTTAGAGAGCTTTAGTAAAGTGAGTTAGGGTGGTATGTTTTGGTGATAGGAACTTAGATCGGGTGAGTAAATACTATAACGGGCACTTGAAGTCTGATCTCGTCTTTAGACAAAAATATCGATAGATACGTCATACTTTAAGGGGTCCGACTGTAAATGCCGAAGATATGACGAAAAATGTAAAAAGGCGACCCCTACGTCCGACCAACAAAAAAATGTTTTTTTAAAAGTGCGTGAAAAAAAATTAGATCTAGCAGTGCATGGCGATTTTTTTTCTGGTACGGTCTAATACGCATCCTTCTCCCCATCAGCGCCTCGTAAGTATTAAATAAGTGGCACTCGAACTCTTTTTTCTTTATGCCTTTAAATAAATAAAATTAAATTACATTTTGTGCAACAATGTTATGTCAAACTATTATTTAATATACAAGTAAATAAAAGTAATTGCCTGCCTGCCAACCAAAAGATGGCACACACAGTTTTCACGTGCCGCTTAACTGTGCACACACAAAAATTAAAATAGTAAACAAGACATAAAAGCACACATTTGCGCATAAATCAAAAACTAAATTCGCCACGTTTATTCCAACAAATTGGCAACGCTTCGGTAAACACTAAAACCCACAATTATGTATACTCTAGCCAAATCTAACTGAGGCAGTTCATGGGTAAACAATTCAGCGAAAAAATACAAAAAAAAAAAGTTATGATTAATAGCTTAAATATTTACATACAACAAATGGCATATGAAAAATTGTTTAATTCAATTATTTTTAAGGCTTGATGTTTATCTAAAAATATTCAAAAGACTTATAAAACATAAACATTAAATATTTCTACTTTTCTTTTGTAGTTCGCAGCACTTCTTGCGATCTGCATGACACTGGCACTGGTCGCTGGTCAACAGTTATTCCCTTTTCCAAGACAGTTCAGCTTTGGTGGTCTGGGATCACCAAATGCGATCCGGGATGCGCGTAATGACCGAGGTAAGATTTGAATTAAGCGAAAATGTAGTTTGCTGTAAGTACAAGTAAATGAATGCCTGTTTTTTTGTTGTTAAAAAAAATTTAAACTAAATTAGACATAAATATTTAATTCGCCGAAGAGTATATTTAAAGTTAACTACAGAGAGGTATATGATTAAATTTTGTGCCATTTAATTGGGGATCATAAAGTCTCAATTTTTGATAACTCTTCGAATACCTTGCACAATTATTGGAAACTTTACATATTTTAGATTGACCTGAGAATTAAAATTAGTTCAAATATTATGAACTAAATGCCTGAACATCGTTATCACTACCGCGACGTTAAAGAGCTACTACGGCTATTTCCAGATCGCACGCTTCACATTTCTTGGACGTACGAACGATCCGAGAACCAATATTTGCCTGGGAGCATTATTTTGTTGCAGCCAAGACACGCGCATGCCTTTGTACAGAAAAAATGACGCCCTGCAATATAAGCAACGTCGAAAAGAAAAGCTGCAATCACAACAGACTGCCAGCATAATCGACACTTAGACCTGCCCTCTGAGAGCAGTCGTCAACAAAACGATATTTACATTTTTCCGAAATAAAAACAGAGAGGCTGAACTACACGAGTGCGAAGGGCTTCAAATGCTTTCTAGCAGACAAAACGGCTTGCAATTTCGCAGGGTGAATTCCTTCCACAGCGAGCTAGTGACTGATGTCCAGCATTTATGGAAGGAATACTTTCCACTCTGCTGAATGGTAGTAACACTGCACCCAGCGCAGCAGATGAAGCCGATTGGCGGAATCGATGTACCTCCGAATCGTCATGACGAGGTACGAATGGCTTGCCAGCTGTGCATTGTAGGTGCGGGTTTGCATGCGCCAACTCTTAAGCCGAATATGGTCGGATGAACGTCAAATGTTGGAAAAGACCCGGGAGAGGGCGATCGACGCATACCAATGTTCTTGTTGCCGAATTGGGGACGAACCCCGAACCGTTAACTAACAGCCTTATTATCTATGGATCTCAAATGACAGGCCGCATGAACGATTAGTCTGCAGACGCCATCGTCTTTCCTTGCAATTTTGTAACTCCGTCGGACGTCTCGTTTTTGCTGTACGACGATTGCATTGAACTTGTCTCAGTTACATGTAAGCCAGCTAGAACTCTATTACCGGACTAACATTTGAAGCATTCCGCGTCCGCGTAATCACGTTTCGGAATTCATGTAACATTTGTTAGCCGTTAAAGCCAATAGAGTATTATCCGGTCTTAAAGTGTTACCTTGCACAGAGTAGTTAATTAAGAAGTAAAGTCGTTCTTCTGGCGCAAAATCAACGATATTGACGACAGCTGATGATGTGGCCGATTGAGGGTTCGGTACAAAAATTCTAGCAGTCAGCAAACGATGGAACGATGGGCTTTGGATTGACATCAACGAATTAAAAGATCATATTGAGATGGACTTGACCTCAATTGACATTTTGGATTGGAATAGGAGAGTAAAGAGGGCGTTTTTAGTAGACTCGGCCTAAATCGCTTAAGCCGCGCCGAGCAAGAGGAAGAAGTTCTATAACACTGTCCCACAAAATTAAATTTTTTAGACCCGTTTAAAAAATTAAAAACGGGAAAAGGGTACAATTTGTATTACATTCGATATCCAAAATTTCGTTAAATTCCGCATTATAAAACTGAATTCATTTCCCAAAAATTCAAAACGGCCAAAAAAGGGTAGATTACTACGAGGAAATTGTCAAGGCAATAATTTTTGCATATCATACCATGGGTGTTAAGATGTCACAAAAAAATCATTTTCTTCATGCTCTTTTCCAGACGAATCTTGGCGACTTTGGTGAGGACCGAACGTTTTCATCAGACATCGCAACAATTGAGACTAGATGGGAGTGTTTTAAACCCTCAAAGCACATTTTATCCACCATTTTGAATTTTTAAGACTCAAATAACCTACATAACAAAAAAAAAGTGGCTTCAGATTCGTGACCAGTAAACCCAAAAACCCTAGGATACGAAATTGAATAAAGTTTTAAAAATCAGGTGCAAAATCGTTTCAGGAGGTGTAATAAGTATTGATAATAACATTAACAGGCATGCTTGATTTCCTTATTTTATGCTTTATACCAGGGACCGAGAACGCGTTCCCGTTGTGATTTAGTTCTGCAAAAGAAAAAAATGTAATGTCAAGAATATTCCCGCAAAAGCATCAAACGGCGACAAAAGTATGGAAATCTCTCGGGAACATTTTTCAAGAAGAACAGAATGAGAACGATACTCTCGGGAACGTTTTCAATAAGAACAAAATGATAACGAAAGTATCGAAAACGTTTTCAAGGACGATCAAACAAGAAGAAAAGTCTGGAGAACGTTCTGCTAGAGAGCAAACGTTTTGACAACTTAACGTTTCAGTGAGAACCATGATTGTTAATTCTAAGCCAGAGGACAGTCGAATAATTTCAACTTATAGATCGTTTATCATTAGTGTGAACTGTTCATTTATGGAACAATTTTGCATTTTCTGTGCATGAAAAGTTCGTGTCTAAGTCTTACGTTCACTTAACTTGCATAATTTTTTTCGTTTTTTTTTATTTATTTCAATATTAAAACATTTCAAACTAATGCAATGCTATGAAAGAAATTTTGTTCTCGCTTCCATTCTTCGCGAATAGTTCAGAGAAGCTTTGTTCCCCATTCGTTCTCCTCTGTCAGAAAGTTCCTTTCCGTTTGAGTTTTGCTCGCGTTTTGTTCTCCTGTAAATGTTCGGAAAGTATTTATCGCATTTTGTTCTTTTTGGTAACGTTCCACATGGTTTTGTTCTTATGTAATTTCCATTGAAAATGTTCTAGACAGTTTTGTTCTCACTCTCGTTCTTGTGAAAATATTCCCGAAGGATTTGTTCTCATTTCGGTTTGGCGCTTAAAGCATTCATGAGAATAAAACTACGTGAACGACATTTACAGACGTATGCTAACAAAGTCACAAACCTTAGCTCATTACTTTTGTCATTTCTACTGCGCCTCAAAATGTGCTGCTGGACCACAAATGCCGCTTACAAAACAAATTTTTAAGTTTCTGTGTATTTTTCTTGCACTTTCGTTCGAATTTTCGTGGCACATTTTGCGGAGCACTAGATGACACAGGAGTGATGAGTCTGTTCAAATAGAGGAGCTAGTTGCAATCATACGTTTTGTTCGCGGTCCCTGCTTAATATAACATTTCCAAAAAACTCATCGAGTATAGCTTTGTAAATTGAGATTAGTCATAGGACGCATTCGCTGTAGGCCAATTTTTACTTCTACGTTCTACGAGTATTTATCAAGAAATCAATACTCTTTTACGAATCTGAAAATCGTATGACCTTTTATTGAAAACCTAGACACCTGTGTGGCGACATAGAGTAGTGGAAGGTCATCGTTTGGTTCATCAGATTAGATTACGCGTAGTTAAATTGAAAAAAACCACTAAAGCCATATTAAAGAATTTGTATGTTTACTAAGTAAATGACTGATTTGTATGTACTCTACAGATATAATTCTTCATTAATTTTTTTCCTCTTTCTTTTTCCCTACAGGCCCCGTACTCTTCCCACCATCGCCACCAAATCCCTATGATGAGAGCAGCGGAGTGATCGTTGGCGCATCCGGCTACGGTTTTGTGCCACCACAAGCACAGAGTAAAATTTTATAAAATTTAACTACATACTTACATATGTATATACATAGCTAGCTATAAATATTGGTATTCTCTAACTAACAATCATATTCTCCTACCAAAACCATATTCCTCAAAGAAACTTTCCGCCTCTCCACTACCAAAAATGAAATAGCAAATGCATACAAATATTTAGTATTTTTCGTAATTTAAAAGTCAATTATAGCAAAAGAGAATTGCAGTCGCACTAAGGACAAAGAAAAACAAAAGCTTTATTACTTTAAATACTACACATATGTATATACAAATTAATAAGTATGTATTATTGTTTTTTTTTTCTATTCGCTTACCTACATATATGCTCATAAATAGGGTATTTATTGTATTGTATTTGAAATGAAAAGCAATTAGAGCACTTGTGGATAGTCGTGCGAAACGAAACGAAATATTACTTAAAGAACAATTGCACACATACACGCAGATACACTTACATAACTACATCCGTATTTTTAAACCAATTAATTGCCACAACATACAATTTAAATTAATTAATCAATATTTCACAATCATTGTTTTTGTTGTTTTCAAACAGGGTTCGGACGCGGTTAAGCATAAAGTAGGAATGAGTCACAAAAGCCATCGCCAAAGCCAATATTAGCAGCATTGCAACACGCTTACACACAACACACACACACAAATATATCCGTATATTCATTGTACACACATAGAATAAGATAAGTACGATAGTTTATTGAAATACCGCAAATGCTTCTACACACACACACACACACATACAACCATTTATACGCATAAGCTTTGCTTCGAATGTACGCCAGTTTTTTTTTGATCGCTAATTAAGTTTTAAATAAATTATTAATGCACTGATTAACCGCTAAACTATCACCAATGCAAGAATAACAATAACAACATGCACAGCACAGCACAGCACAGCAAGCAAACATAAGCGACAGCAGCGGCGGGCGTACATAGAATGTCAACAATATTCACTGGGAATAAATGTGTAGCAAAAAATCTCTAAAAACAAAGAATATACGAATTAAAATAATAATTGGTTTAAAATAGGAGTCTATTTAGAAATATACATACTTATGTCTCACTGCAAGCGGAAGCGAAAATAGATGAATTTTTTTCTAATAAATTAAATAATCATATGCATTAATATAAGCACAAAAACAAAATTCACCAGTCACTTAGCAAATAATGCACAAGCAGTCATATTTACTAAAAATTAGTCATCAATATCTAATTTTAACATTTTTTATTTCAACATTTTTATTTTATTATATAAAAAATTCTTTAAGTTTTCGTTGTGAAGTAATGTTATTGAAAAATTCAAAATTGTTAAACATAAACAGAAAATAAAACCAAAATTTATTTTTAACTAAATACAATTTTAAACTATCTAAAATTATGTTATGTTTATAGCTTGTAATTTTTATGTTTAACTTATTTAAATGCAAATTTTTTTCAAAGCTTTTTTTTTTAATTTCGTATCGTAATTGTCAGATGTATTTATAGAAATTAAAAATTTGTTTGTTTTATTTTTTTTTTGTTTTAATAATTTTTTATTTCACCTTTGTAAATTTTAATTTTTGTTATATTTGTTTTGCTCGTTTAATTTATTATTTAACACATAATTTTTTCACTGTATATGTATAGCAAAATTATTAGTATAGTTATTAAAAAAAATAAAGATTTGTAATGCAATAAATATTCGAATATTTTTCTTTTTTATGGTTTCTGTTTTTGATTATTCAAACATTAGCTACGCAATAATTGTCAAAGCACAATTTTTTTGCACTGCTTACTTTTGCCTTGAAAAGCCACTAACGAGCTGTAAAGACAACAATTAAAACTGATGTTATACACTTAAAAGCATGGAATGGAATACTTTGGTTAGTATACATATATTTTCAAAATTCAAAAATTATTAAAAGAAAAGGTCACAAATCGTTTGGCAAAGACTTTGAAAAGCACAACACTGCCTCACCGAATCCTACTTTGAACTTAAGTAGTAAAATTGTTTCAGGTTTATGTTTAACTACTTAACCATATACTATTTATTAATATTACATACATATAAATATGGACAGTAATAAAACCGAGAGAGGTACGTATATAAACATTTGTATGTATATGTAGTTTTAAGAGTAAGTATATTTGAGAGCTTTCCTGATATCTTTTAAAACATCAGTGAACTTCAATAATTTATTCACGAAATCTACAGCCCTTGAAACGAAAAATACTTATCGTTTTTTAATGCCTAGAATGCAGCAAATGGAAAAATGTTCTATACATTTTCTCATTAGAAATTTGAAGTTTCCTTGAAAGCTGTTTAAGCATCGAGTAAGCAACATATTTAAAAAATGTAGGAAGACTCTGCAAGAAATTTCTTTCTTTTATCTTTTTTTTACTAATCAATTCCAATATCATTGGATGCACTAATTCGCTCACTAGGAGCGAATGGAAGTTGCACAGTTGCACTAGTGACGGATCAAAGAGCGCCGTTTGTTTCATTTTTGCTTTGCCAATGGTTTTATTTATTCGTTACTTAGTTCTAACCGTTTTTCCATGGACATTTTTTGTTGCAAATAAACCTTTTTTTTGTAAGAAGCAAGGAGTTTAATAAGAAAGTCCGAAACATCTGCCGATTTTGCAGATAAATCACTAAAGCAATTGCTACCCTCGAGACATTACATAGTTTATTTTGTGTTTAAAAACATATAAGATAACTTCAACTTAAGGGACAAGTTCATATATTGACACTGTGTATAACTGATTGCAAATACTTGTGATTTAACCCAGCAAATGTCTTTCGACATTGAAAAAATTGAACTCATAATCTGGGAAAATTGCTCTTCTAAATTAGTCGATCTACATATAATTTCACATAAAAATAAAATCATTTTGATCTTGGGAGGCAATGTTAGAAAGCCAATAAATCTGCTATTGAAGGCACATTTCCATAATATGATACAACGTCATCCTTGAAGCGCAAATATCCCAAATTATTCGATATATTAATGTGAAGAGAAAATCCGTTAAAACAAAGCAATTATTTGTATACTTGATTCCAATGAAAATTAAAAATACGGATGCAATAACAATTGTGATTTTAGAAAAGCGTCAAACTCAATTATTCGTCATGCTTCCAGTGTTTTAGACGTACGTACATTCCGAGGGCCAAACATCGACTCGGACCACTATCTTGTTGCAGCCAGATACGTACCCGCCTCTGTTCAGCAAAAAATGTGCGCCCAACTATGCAAAGGAAAAATTAATGTCGAAATGCTGCAATCACAACAGATGGCCAAAACCGACCGATGCGAGCAGTGAAGCCACATTTCCCGCTCATTAAGTACCGCCGCCGAAGAAATAGTCGGATTTCAGAGAGCCCGAAAGAACAGCTGGTACGATGAGGAGTGTCAAGAGGCGACAGAGAAAAAACTGCAGCCTACAGGGCCACTCTGTGATCGGGCGCAACGCGACAGAGGCTGAAATGCGTGAGCGTGAAGAGCTTGAAATGCTGGCCGACAAGAAAAAAAGCCTGATAATTGTATCAGAGTTAGGCGACTTACTGAAGGTTTCAAGACCAGGGCGAAATCCTGTAAGAACAAAAATGGCGACATAGATAATGATGTCAAGAACATATGTACTTAAATTTTGGAGGGAACACTTTTCCACCATATTGAATGGCAACAGCACTGAAAGTAGTGGAGAAGAAGAATCCGATCCCCCAGTTGATGACGATGGAGTCGATGTCCCAACGCCTGACTATAACGAGGTACGAACAGTGGATTCCGCGGCTGAAAAACAACAAAGCTGCTGCAGCTGATGGCCTGCCAGCCGAGCTTTACAAGTACGGCGGCGAGAAGCTGATAAGCTGTATCCATCAACTTCTATGCAGAATATGGTCAGATGAACGCAATTTAAATGTGCTCTGCCCAATCCACAAGAAAGGCGATCCTGCCATACGCGCCAACTACCACCTTCTAAGCATAGGTTACAAGGTCTTATCGAGTGTATTGTGTGAAAGACTGAAGCCCTCCGTCAACGAACTGATTGGACCTTATCAGTGTGGCTTTAGTCCAGGAAAATCCACCATAGACCAGATATTCATAATACGCCAAATCTTGGAAAAGACCCGCGAGAATAGGATCGACACACACCATCTATTTGCCGATTTAAAAGCCGCTTTTGACAGCACGAAAAAAGGTTGTCACTAATACGGCTGTGTAAAATAACGTTGAGCAATACCATCAGCTCCGTCAGAATTGGAAAGGCTAACTCCGAGCCGTTCGCCACTAAACGGGGTTTCAGACAGGGCGACTCACTTTCACTGTGATTTCTTTAACCTGATGTTGGAGAAGATAATAAGAGCCGCGGAACTGAACCGCCCCGGCACAATAGTTTGCAAGAGCGTACAATTGATGGCGTATGCCAACGGTATCAATATTATCGGTAGAAACAAGGGCAAAGCGAATGGGTCTGGTGGTGAAGGAGGACAAAACGTAGTATCTGCTGTCATCATCTATAAGTAACTCATCATGCTTGTGCTGGTGTATGGCGCGGAGGCATGGACAATGAAAACA